AACGTGCGCACGGACGGCCCAGATTCACGCGCACGGACGGCCCAGATTCAATCAGGCACGAAAGGCCCAGATTGCATCGCGATGGACGGCCCAAATTAATCCCAATTAAATCGCGATCGAACGGTCCAGATTTAATCATGATGGACGGTTGAGATTAAAAGGAAAAGAGTATAAATAACCCCACCCACACCTGACCAGAAAACCCTAGCCGCCAGTGCCTCGCCGGAGAAGAAGAACCAGACGCCGGAGGAGCCGGTCGCCGCCACCCGCCGCCGCACCGGGGAAGTTTTCGACCGCCGATCGAGGTAAATTTTCTCCTCCTTGCTCGTTTTTCGATGTTAAGTTCGCCTATGGCCAAACCGGAGCCAAACCACCAGCCAAACGGCCGAAACCCAGCGGCGCCGCCATGCCCCTCCTCGCTTTTTGCCTCCGATGAGGCCCTTCCCGGCCTCCGTTTGATGCAAATTTTATACCACTGTGATCACCGTTCTTTTTTCTACAGGTTGATCAGAGTCAAACATCAAAATACGACTCACGCCGGAGGAGCCGCCGCACCCGAGAGCACCGCCGCCAGTAAGTTTTGGTTTTTCGTGATTTTTTGGCCCACCGAGGGCCCTAGGATTGTTTTATCGCAGGGACCGATGCAAGCGTGACCGAATTCGGCCGAAAACGGCCAACCCGAGGCGAATCGCCGCTGCAAACGACGGCGGCGTCGCCGGAGCACGGCGGAGCCGCCGTGCCAGAATTGCGATATTGGCCAAAAGGGGCTCTAAGCTAGGTCTAATTTGGGATTTTTTGGGACACGTGCAGGTACCAGTAGTGCGTTTCAGTTTCCCGGAAAAAATTCAGAAAAAATTAGGGACAGCTTATAAGCGCACTGTAGAGTCGAATTCAGACCACAAAACAGGTAAGGACCCCTCACCCTATTTTCTATCACAGTATTAAAGCTAAACAAATAATTAAACTGTACTGTGTGACTTTATAGATGTATAATTGATTAAGGTTGCCAATGGAGCCCGAGTCTAATACAGTGTTGGTCTGTTATTGTTTGATATATTTTTCAGTATTAAATGCAGCATGATGTCTGATGTATTTATGTTATGGTCCCGTATGCATGAATCACGGTTTCTTTTATTATGGTTGATATTATGATTAACCCGATACTGTGTTGTCTTGTTTGGTGTCAATTACTGGTTTACATGTTGTGTATGATTGGATGATTGAGACCGAGAAAAATAAAAAAAAGGTTATGTGAATTGATAATAGGATAATATAGACAGCCTGACTAGATATCCTAAGAGATGGTGGATGGACCGGGTCCATAGGGAACCCTACCGGAAACGTGGTCTCTCATACTGGACGGGGTATGGAGACCTTATGTATTTTGGCGCCCATACCGGACGGGGTATGGGGGCGGCCCTGGAATCAGGTTGTAAATATTAATGGTTCACGTGTAGCGGGGACTCCCTATAGATCTCCAGGGATACTAGTAGGCTGGTAAAAGAGGAAATATATTTTCTGATGATTGAAATGTAAAGGTATGATGTGTGTTATGTTAATAAAGTTTTATATGATTTCATTGATGATGATAACGTTATTGCTT